TTCAGCGGTAGTGTGCTCATGAATAACAGCTATACGGTTTGCCACAAATGTTTGGTATGATGCTGAGGATGAGTTAATCCATGCCAACACGATTTGTGAATCAGTCCAAAAGTATGTAGCCACATCGTCTAGCTTAAGGTCTGATTTGACCCTTGTAGTTAGTTGAGCACCCAGTACTGACGCACAGAGCTCAAGCCGAGGAATAGTTTGCCGTTTCAAGGGTGCCACACGAGTTTTTGCACAGAGCAGCCTCACTTGTACTCGTCCCTCATCCAGCTCGTATCTAATGTAAATCGCAGCACCATATGCCTTTTCTGATGCGTCGGAGAAGACATGAATTTGAATTTTTGCTGGGATGTATCCTTCAAACACGTGCCGTGACACTTGCAAGTTGTCCAATTTTTGCAAATCATTTCGAAATGTTGTCCATCTCTCATTCAAATGGGTTGGTAATGCTTCATCCCATGTCAGCTTCAGTTGCCAGAGATCTTGAATAAACATTTTTGCCATCACTACAATTGGTGCTAGTATCCCCAACGGATCGAATAGCCTTGCAAGATCGGCGCTGACTGAGCGTTTAGTTGCAAGACTGCAGCTTCCTAGGCATACCTTTACGCAGAATCGATCCATCTTAGGCATCCATGTTAACCCCAACGTTTTAATAGTTTGCTTGATGTCATTGTCAAAGTCTATGTCAACTTCTTGTTCCTCCCTGCTAACATTTTGCAGTAATTGTGAGTGATTGGCGCACCATTTTCTTAGGTTAAGACCACGTTGTTTTAAGATGTGTATCAGTTGCTGTTGGATTTCCATCGTCGTGGTTAAGCTGTCTGACCCACCGATTCCGTCATCTACATAAAAATTGTCCTGCAGAAACTTAGCACCAAGAGGATATTGTAATGAATTTTCTTTTGCAATTTTCTGCAAACATTTGGTGGCTAAATATGGAGCAGATCTTGTCCCATATGTGATTGTATTTAGCTGATAATGCTTTATTGGTAGGCTTGAATCCTTTCGCCAGATGATAAGTTGGAATTTGCGTTCGTCCGGTTGAATGAGCATCTGTCGATACATTTTTTCTACATCTGTGGTGAAGACGAACCTGGGCAAACGGAAGCGAAGTAAAATGGTGAAAAGCTCGCTCTGAACAGTGGGTCCGGTATACATGAGGTCATTCAAAGACATGCCAGTGGACGATTTTGCTGATGCGTCGAACACCACACGTAATTTTGTAGTGCGGCTTTCGGGTCTCACAATGCAATGGTGAGGAATGAAGTACCTAGGTTTACTGATGGAATCAATATCCACTTGCGTCATGTGCCCCAAGCTCTCATATTCCTCCATAAATTGTACATATTGATTCTTTGTCTGGAGCGATTTTGCCAGTCGACGTTCTAAGGCCAGGAATCGATTATACGCCATCCCATAGGATTCCCCTAAGGCCTCCGGATTTTCATGAAATGGTAGCCTTACCATGAATCTCCCATTTTCATTGATGAGTGTATGTTGTGCGAAATGAGCTTCGCACTGTTTTTCTGCTACCGAATGTTGTTTTCTTACAGTTGCAACATCCTCAAGTTCCCATAATCGAGCAATGGCTGCATCTAAGTTGATGTCATCGTTGGTACAGATTCCACATATTGCATTTGAGATGTAGTTGCCACCAACTTTTCCCGCGATGATCCATCCCAGCACTGTATTTTGCAGAATGGGTAGGTCATCTGACAGTTTGATTTGCCCTGCTGCCATCAGTTGGTTGTAGAATTCCGCCCCCAACAATATATCAATTTTGTCAGGACGATTGAATGATGGATCGGCTAACATGATGTTCTCAGGAATTTGCCATTCGTCGATCTTGATTTCTTGCGACGGCTGCGGGGATATAATCTGAGGCAATACCGCTGCCTCTAGCCGCGTTGTAAAGTTGTTGATCCGAGACTGTAGCGCCACATTGACTCGATGCTGTATCTTAGTGCTCCTTGACCCGATGCCACTAATGGAGATTGATGATGGTTTAGTTGAGATGCCAAGACGTTTAACCAATCGTTCAGTCACAAAATTAACTTGTGAGCCTGAATCGAGAATTGCCCGACACTGCACTTCTGTTCCGATTCCTCTAACTTTCACCATGGCAGTGCTGAGTAGTACATACGTGTTTGACTTTGTGTGCTTTGCGGTGGTAAGTGACGCTGCTTCGTCTTTTGATGGCGTTGATTTGGTCCTGGATGGTGTAGTACTTTGCGATTCGTTGCCTTGTGTTGGAGTGGCTACTGATGTAATGTCTTTGCTCACATCCCTTTTTGAATCCTCGAAATGTAACAGCGTGTTGTGTTTTTTGTTGCATTTCAGACAGTTTCTTAATATACAATTTTTAGAACCATGTCCTGGTTTTAGGCAATTGTGGCAATATTTCTGCCCTTGTATGAACTGAAAGCGTGCCGATGGAGACTGTTGTAAAAATTCCTTGCAAGAAAATAATGGATGTTTTCCTTTTTTGCACATGCTGCAAGTGTCATTTCTATGACCTTTGGATGTGACTGAAGTGCACACCTTTGCAGTTGAGCTTGTAGATTTGTCTTTGACACCCATCGCTTCCATGGATTGAAAGTGTTTCTCCAGAAATTGCAGGAATTCCTTGAGTGTTTGTACCTCCCGTGGCTTTGATAATGATTGTTCGTACCGCAAACGAGTCGGTTGATCCAGTTTCTTTAGTAGAAGGGGGAGCAGAAGTGGATCCCATGTTGATGTGTCTATCTGCAAATTTTGCAATGCTAATAGACATTCTTGTGTTGTGTCATGCAGTTTTTTGACATTGTCCATTGATGTGCTTCCAGGTGTAGTAGTTAGCTCATGTACTAACTTGCTCACCAGCAAGCGTTTGTTGTTGTAACGCTCCAGAAGCATGAACCAAGCTGCATCAAAATTCTCTCCTGTTGATGCGAAATGTTTAATTAGATTTCCAGCCTCCCCCACTAAGTGAGTTTTCAAGTACCACATTTTCTGAACTTTTGAAAGAGGTTGATTTATTACCAGTTGCGAGAATAGGTCATGAAATTCTTGCCATTTTAAATAGGTGCCATCGAATTTTGGAATTATTATCTTCGGCAGTGAAATGGGTTGCAGTTTAATCGGAAGTTGGTTTGAAGATTGCTCAGTATGGGAGTCACTATTAGCTGCTTGCAAAGTACTCCATACCTTTTCCTCAAGTGAAATGAAGTTATCGACCTTGTAGCCCTGCTCGGTTGGGTTGTCGAACATCTCATATATCCTGAAGTGAATGTCTTCTATATTTTCCACAGTTTATTAATTGTTGGAACTCATTGTGGTGAAACGTTGTCGTTCAGTAACCGTCGCAACGAGGCCATCATTACCCCTTGTCTGCGGACTAGTTTAGTGTACTCGTTGGAAGCTGCCTGTTTGGTTCCAGTATCATGCCGTGCTTCTGTGTTGACTTTTGAAGCTGAAGCATCATGTTGGTACGTACTTCCTTCATTAGTTGTTAAGCGCAATTCTCTCGTCGGGGTTTGAGCCAATTGGAGCACTGCGGACTCGAAAATCTCCTTGTACTGATTTACAATTTCCATTAGCTGGGGGTTTTCAAGCAGTCGAAGTTTGTTGTCAGTTGTTTCAGTCGCTGTCCAGTCTTCTTAATCGCTCTTCGTAATAGCTGATTGACTGCTTCCTGGATTGCGGGTCCTTTTTAAAGTTTCGGACAATTGATTCGATATTGCCGCCCGTTTCTCTTTGTTGTCTGGCCAAATCCTCGAAACGATCCATTTTTCTTCTTTTAGATTAGTTTTGTGGCTCCTTAAACTGCTGCACTGGCCTTGTTTAAGCTGAATGTCCTTTCACAGGGGTCACCAGAATGTTCAGAATAATAGCGATTACGCCAAGTTCGAACACTGTTGTTTGCTTGATTGCTCTCAAGTGATCTTTATTGAATTAATGATTACGTTTTTATACAAACTAAATGCAAATGCTAAATAATAAGGGCATAAAAACTTTGGATAGTAAGCAAAATTATTGTAAAGGCTTTATTCCCACGTTTTGCTTTACATAAGCATAATTAATGCAAATGCTTTATTCCCACGTTTTTGTTGACATAAGCATATTCCACATTTTGCGTCTACTTTCATTTGCGTGCATTAATCAACAATGTCTTATATGTAACTTGACACATGCCAAATTATTTGGCTATAAGAAAACACTAAAAGACATAAAGTGCACGCTACGCATAAAATAATGCAAGCGAAAATTAATACCCTGTTGAATAAAGCCAATGCAATATTAATATGTCGCCTTTTCTTATTTAATAACAGTGAGGTTGTTTCCAACAATACCCAGCACACGTGTGATCTATTTGCTAACTTCTTTCAGAAAGTTTATGAAAAATATGACACTACAATATATCCAGTGTTAACCCCTCATCCATTAAAAAACATTACCACTTTTGATATTAGTGTGGATGATGTTGAGCTTGCGATTTCGGCACTAAAACCTAGTTTCAAAATAGATTGTGAAGGATTTTCTCCCAAATTCTTCAGAACTTGCTCTGATACCGTAGCTTATCCCCTTACACTCTTATTTAATATATGTTTAAATAAGGGCGCTTTTATCGACCCGTGGAAGCTTTGTTCAATTGAGCCTATCTACAAATCAGGGGACCGCAACGATGTGTGCAACTATAGGCCTATCGTCAAACAAAGTACCATAGCCAAACTATTCGATCACATAATTCAAGTAAAGCTATTCAGTCACGTCAGCAAAGTTATCTGCAACTGTCAACGTGGATTTATGCCANAAGTTATCTGCAACTGCCAACATGGATTTATGTCTGGTAGATCGACTTGCACTAATTTAGCTTTAGCCACAAATAAAATAATAAATGCATTCAATAACCATACTCAATTAGACGTAATATATACAGACTTCTCGAAGGCGTTTGACAAAGTTGATCATTAAATTTTGCTATACAAATTGAAGCACTATGGAGTAGCGGGGAAACTTTTAGTTTTCTTCGCCAGTTTTCTAAATAACAGAAAATTATTTGTTAAAATTGGCTCTGCTAAATCCAGAACCTTAGTCGAGGCGTGTTCGGGCATTCCACAAGGAACACACTGTGGCCCATTGCTATTTATCATCTTTATAAATGACTAGCAGACCCGGCGAACTTCGTCCCGCCCAAAATTTTTATATATTTTATTGAAACTTTTTGGTCAAACATTTTCACCAACGATTCACGTTTACGATTTTCATTGGCACACTTGTCTGCTAAGATTAAGGTTTGGTGGTCATTTGCCGCTTTAAATAACCGAAGGAAAGTATTATATCCGTGAAGAAGTTCTTGAAATTCTCCAGTTGTGCGGAATTTCATAGCACGGTTATTCGCAAAGCGAAATAAATTTTTTCCTCTTCACTCCCTGGCGGCAACAATGATCCGGTTCTATAGTGAATGTCCTAAAAGCTTTACAGTATAGTAGGTGGCAATTTCAAAATGAGTGCGAATCATTGTTCTACAGAAATGCAATATACATATACTTATTTTAGACGAAATACCTTAAAAGTTTGAACGTATAATAATATTGGAAAATCCTACATCCATTGGGCCAATTGCAACGCAGGAGCGTTCGATATACTCAATGGTGCAACAGGTCGATTTAAACTGACCTTCACGGCCCCTTTTCTCACTTGGCTATTTTTAGTAATAGCTCGACTTCAGCACCACTTGGCAGCACGTTTTTGCAATAGTATTGCATACATATTTAAAACATTAGCCAAATCGGATCATAAATAAGATTTGTAGTAATAACTCTACTACAGCGCCAACTGTCGGATTAAATTGTGAAACTAAACCATCCAGAGACCCACTCAAATACACAAAAAGTTTCGTTAAAATCCGTACAACCATCTAGGAGGATTTCACTCACAAACACACCTACAGAAGAATAAAAAAATTCATTCAAAGATAGCTAAAGGTCGGTACGTTTGTAGGCCTCCCACCCCTTTTCAAATAGCCCAAATTTTGTTCATGAGTATGGGCTTGATTTCAACTATACACATATCTCGATACGAAGTTCCAGTACTGTACCATGAACACTTTCAGAGATATGCAGTATAAAAATTCGATTTATATGGGAGGTGCCACGCCCCCCTTTCCAACAGCTGCCCTCTTTCTTCATGAGTATGCGATTGATTTCGTATATCTCCATACCAAGTTCCAGAACTCTACCAAGAACACTTCCAAAGATAGGCAGTATGAAAAATTCGGTTTGTATGGAAGATGCCATGCCCCCTTTTCCAATAGTTCCAATTTTTCTTCAAGAGTATGCGATTTATTTCGTACATCTCCATACAAAACTCTAGAACTCTACCAAAAAATTTCCAGAGATAAGCAGTATGAAAAATTCGGTTTGTATGGGAGATGTCACACCCCTTTTTACAATAGCTAAAATTTTTCTCCAAGGGTATGCGATTGATTTCGCATATCTCCATACCAATTTCCAAAACTCTACCATGCACACTTTCAGAGATATGTAGCATGAGAAATTCGGTTTGTATGGGAAGTGCCACTCCCCCTTTACATATAGATTTTTTTAGCCTAAAACCATCCTTGGGACACGTGCGGCAGGTGGCAGTTTCAAAAAAATCGGTTCAGCCGCTCTCGAGCCTTGCGAAAACTAACAAACGGCTTTCTAAATATATATTAGTTGAGATATATTATATATTATAATTATATTTTGACAGTACCCGTTGTTTCTGATTGGCGCAAAAATATCTCGCCTAGTGCCGAATTCGCCCCTTGATATGGTCGTTACTTAAAGCTATTTATATTCGAAATTGCATGAAAATTGGAAAACAGGAATCTATAAGCTTATCCAGGCAAAAAGCTGCCTACGTACCGAATTTTAAGCAAATCCGACCATAAATACGATTACTTCGAACAGATCGGTCCTGGTCCACTTCTCGGACAAAATGGATCATATATGCTAATATATACTAAAAAGCTACCTACGTACCGAATTTAAGCAAATCGGACCGTAAATACGATTTTTTCGAATAGATCAGTCCCTGGTCCACTTCTCGGAAAAATGGACCATATATCCTAATATATGCTAAAAAACTACTTACGTACCAAATTTTAAGCAAATCGGACCATAAATGCGATTTTTTGGAATAGATCGGTCCCTGGTCCACTTCTCGGAAAAAATTGATCATATATGCTAATACATGCTAAAAAGCTACCGCGCACCGAATTTTAAGCAAATCGGACCGTAAATTAGATTTTTTCGAATAGATCAGTCCCTGGTCCACTTCTCGGAAAAATGGACCATATATCCTAATATATGCTAAAAAACTACTTACGTACCAAATTTTAAGCAAATTGGACCATAAATGCCATTTTTTTGGAATAGATCGGTCCCTGGGCCACTTCCCGGAAAAATTTGGTCATATATGCTAATATATGCTAAAAAGCTACTTACGTACTAAATTTTAAGCAAATCGGATCATAATAAGATTTTTTCGAATAGACCGGTCCCTGGTCCACTTAGCCTAAAACATGGTGGTTACCGAAAGCTATTTGTATACAAAATTTCATGAAAATCGGACCAGCCGTTCGCGAGATTACCTGTTACAAAAAAAGGGACTTCTCTTTATATAATTAGTATAGATTTGACGAACCACTTTAAGTTTGCTAAATGCCTAATGTTTGCAGATGACATAAAACTCCTTTTAGAGGTACAAAATTTATCAGACACTAACAATCTGCAGTCAGATTTAGATGCTTTAGGACAATGGTGCACAACAAACCATTTAAATCTAAATGTTAAGAAATGCTTCGTGTTAACATTCACCAGAAAATCAACTACTTTAATGTTTAATTACAAATTAAATAACTGTTTCTTAAGTCGCTGTGATCAGATGAAAGATCTAGGTGTTATTTTTGACTCCAAGTTATCCTTCACCAAACATATTGACTATATAGTTTCCAAATCATTTGCAATGATCGGTTTCATTAGAAGAAACACGGGGGGTTTTAAAGATCCTCACACCTTAAAGTCTCTTTATGTTGCCTTAGTAAGAAGTCGCCTCGAATACTGCTCGTTGATATGGAACCCTTATTATGAGGTCCATTCCATAAAAATTGAAAAGGTACAGAAAGTCTTTACAAAGTTCGCCTTGTACAAAATGCACTGGCTTAATGGTCCTCCCCGTTACACAGGTAGACGTAAGTTGCTAGGCCTGCATTCATTGCATGA